GTCCATAAAACGAGAGAAATGTTGTGGGACACTACTCAAGAACTATTCACTTTTGACACAGTCTGGATGGTAGTTTTCCGCTTGAACTTGCGTCCAGATGCGCAAAATAGAGGTGCGCGCTGATGTACGCAAGTTTAAAGCTGACATATTACCCGCAAAATTTTTCATATCAACTTTCATTTATAAATGATTAAATATTGTCCTTACAAAAAATTAATAGCAATCCAAAAAAAATCGGCAAGTACAAAAACAATACAAGCAAAACCAAATATTCTCAGTCTGGTCTGACCCAAACAACGGTAGAAATGCAGAAGCTAAAATGCGTCACCTGATAACGATGATGCCAGATTGTACCTGGAGAATGGTGCTGCCAAATGGTACAGCATAAATCCATCAAGTTAATAAATCAAGTTAAAATAATCGTTAACAAAGAGTATTTGGGAATTCTGAAATATTCAACTCGGGATCTTAAAAATCACATCAAATGGAGGTCCAAGGAATTCTGCCGAATTAACTGCGTATTTGACGGACGTAAACGTCTCTAAGGCTTTCTGTAGCGTGATTGGTGTGACAGAAAAGATCATTGGAAATCAGATCGTTAACAAATATTCCACTGTCAGCTCAGAGCTTGAAACCGTTAACGCCTAATCATTTACTTTTAGAATGCCTTAACTCTATGGAGAAGCCGAGAAAATTTACCTATTCCGTAAGTAGGTTAAGGTTACTTTAATATTAAAACAATTGCCTCTAAAGTGCTGGGATGAAGAATATTTGTTTCCGATATGCTCATGGTAGCCTGGGTACTCTTGGGCTCTTAAACTAACTGGCACATCGGTCAAAAAATTGAGGATATTAGCAAAAGAGGCTGGGAATTAGAAAAGCAATCCCCGAATGGGTGTGTGCAGATAGAGAAGGTTCTTCAAATTAAGAAAATATATTTAGTTCAGCGGCTGGTTTTTGATTTAAAATGCGTTTGCTTCTTTGATTTATAATGAATTTTACATTTATATTTTTAACTTTTATATCCACTAACACTTGACTAATTCATTTATACACATTTGTTTTGTATTAAATAGTTACCTTTGGTTCAAATAGATTTATTCATACAATATCAAAATGGTTGCATGCAAACAAAAATAAGTGTTACCATATTTTTTGCAAACGAATAAAAAAATTAAAAAGAAGGATCATCCAGTCAATACAAAATTCATAATCGTTGATGAGTAACGCAAACTCTTTCAGAATTTTCTTTCTCTTCGTAAATTCCGATGTTGGACCGACCAGAGTTATTTTATTGAAGCGCGGTCGAAGGCCGCCAAAGTAAAAAGGAGGTCTATACCAAAGAGCTGAGCACAACCGGATGTTGGGCCGATAGAGCAGAAAGAAATTCTAAGCGAAAACCTAATAATGTGCCATTGGGGTATTATCTGTTTTCTTTATTCCTTTTCGTTCCTTTGTAAAATATGTAGGTAAAAAAATAAGGTAACACTGATTATTTGTTAAAATGCAACCCTTTTGTTATTGTGTAAATAAAAAGAATTTAACAAAAGCTAAATATTAAATAAAGTTAGTTTAATAAAGTAAATGTGTAGAAACGAATAAGTGAAGTGTTAGAGAATATAAAAGTTAAAACTATCAGTGAAAGACTTGAAATTGTGAAATTTTGAACTTTAAATGTATTTTTTTTTAAACCATAAGTCAGCGGCAACTATATACTATGCATACGTATATATTTTATAAATTTGGAAAACCTCCTCAATCCGCACATACCCATTTTAACTCCGAATTCGCTGGATGCTATTCTAAAATTTTCCGGCAAAAGACAATAATGTGGAATGAGCTATTATACAGACTACAAACGCACAATTATTTGTTTAGTGGTCTCGAAACTATATCCTTAAAAGGATCCGCCAAGGACTGGATATCAGCACATATATCTATTGATGAGATTTATTTTTCTATAAAACGTTTTAAAGGAGTATGTCAATCTGAGAGTTTAAAGTTTTCGCAAATCTTTAAATAATGTTGAGGAAATATTATATAATTCAGCGCTCCATATTATACGAAGTTGGGAATCACAGTCATATTTGTTATTTTATGAACGTATACTAATCATATGTATAAGTCATGTGCTTAGTTTCACTACATCAACTTTCTTTGTATACGAATAGGTATAACCAATTAACGTTTTTATACGAGACTAGCGGACCCGACTTTGGATAGTTATGTTGGTTAGGAAAATTTGATGAAGAATTATGTAAAATATGTACTTCGAAACAGTAACAAATTTCAAAATAAATAGTAATATCCTTAAGAAAAAAGTATTGCATGTACCAAAATGTAACAAATGTGTTCAGCCTAACTCATAGATAAAATGATCCGAAACTCCTCTCTTTGCCTTTCGAGAGAGCTCATGAACTTTCAGTGCTGCCAAGAAAAACCACGAGTTCATGAGCTACTGAACAGATGACAACCAAAACAATGAACTACCACTAAGAATCCCGCAGAAATAAATTGCGAAATCAGTGGGTAATTTGTGAGATCAGATTTTTTGTTGACTTTTACGTATATTTGTAATCTTTATTCAAAGAGTTTTAATATAGTTTTGTTTTTAAGAAAGAGCGGGTATTTTCTCGCAGAGTATTGTTTTGCTTAGCGTACCAATTGTCGACGTATATGCTTATTTTGGTTAGAATTCCCAGCAAATGTTATGTAAACTTTGACTTCCGAATAAATTATCAAAAGATATTGGTTTATTGAGTATATAAAAAGGAAATAAGGATCATGTTAAGCTTATTTAAAACTTGTAACTTGTTTTGAAATATTAAAATATTTTGTTAAATTTAGTTTAAAAAGTAAATTTTGAAAATCTTTTGTGATCAAAATATACACGTACATATATTTAGACATCATTTTGGATATCTAGCTTGTTAAACTAATTTTATTTATGTATATTTTTCTGTAAAATGGAAACCGAAAAATACCCAAGAAATACATTAAAAAATCTCAAAACGTATTTTTTTCTTTCTTCACAGTGGCACCACTTTCAAATGTTATAAAAAATGTGGACTTTTACAGCGCTCCCTCAAATCAAAGAGTTTCGTATCATTTTATCCATGGCCTAACTATCCTTTATGAATCTTCATATGTATCGTATACAGTAGCATAGCAGTATAAATCAGTGTTCTCAAGTCTCAAAAATTTTTCTCCCTATAACTCCAACAAAAACCCCCTAAATTCCCCAAAAAAAAATATTATTAAGATAAATAATAAATTATTATTAATTAAGTTATAGATTTAATTACAAGTATAATAACATTCTTTAACTGAAATTATCAATTATTATTGAATTACCATATATAATTAAATCTGCTCTGCTAAACTAAAATAAAAAATATCCCCAATAAATTTCACCCCCCAGAAAACCCACTCTATTGATTTTTTCCACCTAAATTTAGGGGGGAAACCCCTAAGTTGGCATCACTGGTATAAATGTTTAGGCACTATACACCATACGCATGTGTATAGTCTTCATAGTTTAAAGAATACTTATGCTATCTTAGAATCTGATCTCAGCGCCATCTACCAGGGGCAACTGAAACTCAAATATACTTTTGCTGAGGGAATTCTATTTAAAAAGTTTTAACATCAACAACAATTTGTAAATAAAACATTAGGATCGAATTGTGAATCTAAACCATTCTCAAACCCCCTTGAATACACACAAATCTTAATCGGTCCTGCCGTTTAGAAATATATAAAGATATATTAAACCTTCTAGAGGGAGCCTATTATTGGAGTTTAGTTGCTTAATAGGTGATTGAGTTATGTTCCTTTATATGAGCTGAACAACCAGCTTCAGTCCACGGTAAACGTTCTTGTTTCAATTTCATCAATCATTAAAATCTCATTCATAGTTATAAAAAGCCGCTAGAAACCGGTTTTATTCTGCTTAAAACGCTTCAAAATATGCTATAAATTTCTTTTCGATCCAGTTCTTGTTAAATTGTTAACGTGTGCGGCACTAACGACATCAAACCACCAAACAGCTTTTTCATTTGTAATTCTCCATGTAAAATATGAAGTACTCGTTCGTCTGAGATGCCTATGACATTAGCAATTTCACGCTTGGTCAAACTTGGATCTTCACTAACAATATTATGAACTTGCTCAATGATTTCTGGTGTGGTTGCGGTTTTTGGTTGTTCTTCGCTTGAAGGTGAGGACTGCTTATACACTTCTAACAATTGTTCATGAATTTCCTTTGCTTTTAAACCTTTCAAAACAAAGAATCTAATCACTGCGCGATATTAAATTTTTCCATATTAAAAAATACTTCGACAAGTCAACTTCAAATGGCTTGTAAACAAAAAATTTATTGACAGAATGGCTTGTAACTTTGCATGTGTTCTCACGACAGATATACCAACTTGAGAAAAACAATTTGGAGCTAGTAGTGCTATTTCTTGGTGAGAGCAGAAACTTTTCAACCAACCTGTATAGCAAGTTTCTTCAAGAAACTTCACTTGTTGCCTTCCACAAGTATGTTTAGCTAATTTAAACTAAATTTATGTTACGTATCACTCTAATTTGTACATGTAGACACAATTAGCTTACCTGTGTAATAGGATGATATGTTCGTTTCAAGTGTACTTGCATTTAGTTTCATGTCTGACATATTTATAGGCACTAGAGGGGTTAACGAACTACTGCCTGATGAAAAGTTATAATTGAAAAAGCAATGAAATTATATGAATGCAAAAATAAATATAAAATAATAACAAAAGGTATAATTTTTTTTTAGTCTAGGCTTTCGTTCCATATTACAATTATGTGTGATAAAAACCTTTGAATGGATTAGTTTGTTTTCATTTTGCAAAGACTTAGATAGAAACTTTATCGTTTTGATTGATTTAAAATTAGATAACTGTACTTTGATGTAGCGATGACAGTATTGCGGCAATTTTATTGCATACATATTTCTTTTCTTCTATACTTACCAATGGATGCACCTATGGACGGTGTGTATAGCGAATTTTGAGTTTGCGATATTGATGTAATACTGTCATAAATCATTGCATCGTTTCCTGCGGCTCCTGTTGCAGGAAAGTTATTGTGGGTGTCATAATAGGATGTATTACTATTCGTAGTCAAACTACCTAATTCAGAGAGGAGTTTATGCTCATCCTTGATGCACCATTTCCCAGACCAAATCTGTTTTACCATAACACAAATTGAATTCAGAAAAGAAAAACATATTATTGACAATAACTATAGACATGGTTTTTATGACACTTGCATTCGAATAGATTTGGTCACCACTGTACGCTATTCGTTGCCTCTTTATGTCGTCCTCTGAAGGCATGTTAACATCTCGATTTTCGTCTGCAAGTATAAGATATATACAAGGCTTTCTCTTATTTACGTTTATGGAAGTAATAAAGAGTTTCATTCATTAGTTGAAACATCAATGCGTATTTATGTAGATATGTGTGCTTGCATATGTACATCCATACATACCATATATGACAGTACGTATATATTTAATGTGTATACAGCTACTTAGCTATGAAACTCTTCAAGGGAGGCTTTTAAAAAATAGTTTGTACATGTATGCCACATGTTGATATGTAATATTTTGAAAGGCTTTTAGTGTGCACGTGCAGTAATTGATTTAATTTTCTATGTATTGAAATTTCTCAACACATTATTCTCTAATTGAGGTTTTTTTGACGTGCGTGAGGTATTATTACCAGCGCTAGTCACTTTTAAATCGCAAATACGAATGGTTGCCAACTTTTCTCCCAAATATTTTTATTTGCATCTTTACAAAAAATAAAAGGGAGAGTGCCTTTAAACAAACCTTAAAGAAACCGAACTAACAAACGAATTTATATCATAAAATAAAATATTCCTACATGAATCCATTTGAAATTTGCTGCTTAGTTCATAATTTTACCACATCTTCAACGCATGAAATAAAATATTAGGATCATAAAACTACTCGATGGGTCCTTCTAAGGTCGAAAAAGAATGTTAAAGAACTATTTATACTACTTTATTCTGGTAATACTACTTCCATATAACATAACATAATTTTAAATTTCATCTGATTCTTTCTCTTTACAGTACATATGTAGATCAAGAGCCAAGTAAGTTGGAAGGAACCTTAGCACATATAGTGCCTTTAAGCCATGCCAACTCAGTATCAAAAATTATTCGAAATCGGACCCATAAATTTTCAAAAACCCAGGTACGTAATATGTGGACCTCAGTGGTTATGGCTGACTTTTCCCGAAAATATCCGTCAGTATGTGAGATACATTAATAATATTCAAATCCATCTTTTGTTGACAATAATTTGCACTTCTGTCGAAATTAGGTAATGTTACGTAATTAAGGTTTTGACCCGAAACTTTCCCTTGCCCTAAATGCCTAAGCGCGTTGTCTTTATACCATATAATCACCGCGAAAAAATGACGCTAGCGCAAGTCAACTTGCTTGCTGTGATCATATTATATGTTGTTCTTAAATTTTATAGTACATCAAACTAAAAAGTGAAAAAAAAAATAATTATTTACATATTATACATAAAATTAAGGACGTTGAGTAAATTTGTACTTCAAATCACAGCATGGATGTTGATGCTTTTAAATGCATAGTTTTAGGCGCATTTTGGTTTTATACTATCAAACTGTAGATTCGTTTGCCATTGAGTTTCAGTGTCTCAGAAAAATACAAACATACAAACATGGAAAAGTTTAGCGGTATAAAAATACTTTGTTTGTTGTTAGTGATGTTGATGCGAGCCAAACGGAGCCTAGTGAGCTATGGCGTGAGCACCCCCAACTGCTCAGCTAAGTCTAGATATAAGATTGTTTGAATATTAGAAAATCTGACAAAATATATGCGATTTATAAAAGTGCATTTTTGACTATGTTTTTCAAGGTAAAACAGGCTGTAAAACCCAAAAAAAAAAAAAAAATCGTGCCAAAACTTAAAAACAAAACACTACTTATAGGAAAAGGCGTTTAAAAAGAGATGATAAAACGTGAATAGTCAGCGCGAGCCCGGGTTTGGGGCCCGATATATCATAAACCAACATGCTTTCGATCATATCCTTTATAGCATAAATCCAGCTAAAAGAATGTAAAACCATGGATAAAAGTTTTGAACTAAGCTGTAGATTGCACCAAAAGTATTACCTAATTATCAGTTTGACCGTAAAAGCGATAACTTGAGTAATTGAGATATGTATCTTCATGAACCTTATTATACGTACTCTTCGCACTCTGTAGATGACGGTATTGCAGATATGGGAATATTGATAGACCTACAATACGTCGTTAAGTGAAGACATAAAAAGTGCAAACAACGCCACGCCCACAAACTGTCGTTTTTCGAAAAGAAATATAAAGTGCTACAGGTAAGCTACACATGTGCTAAAAACTTCAGTTTTGTATTGTGCATCACAGTTGGAAGAGGTATATGTGGCTTAATATTAATTGAGAAGTGACACCGCCTTCTAATAAGTCTCATTTGCACACATATCTCTCAAACTACATGTTCTATATCAACTAAATATAGTAAAAGCATTTATTTCATGCATTTCATAATACAGTATGAAAATGGGTAAAACCGGGTAATAACCACGTCCATTCCGCAAGTATTGTATAAAACTAATAAAACTCTCAGAAACATAAAATTTAATTGCAAAGATAATACAGGAGGCATGTATGTGAATCGAAATAAAAAATTTCCAATGAGCGTGGCACCGCCCACTTTTAGGGGAAAGCCTATATCTCGGAGACTACTGAACCAATATCAACCCACACTGATACATAACATTTCCTTGAAGTCGTTATACCTTATGATATATACGTATGAATAAAAATGTTCCAACAATTTTAAGTGACATTGCTACTAAGGCATCGATATACTAGTATATAATCCGATATTTTTATCTTGAGTGCTTTTTACTTATTTTATTCTTAAAGCAATGTTTACAGTTGTGTATTTGTTACTTCGCACTTAATGAATTTCTCATGTGCTATGAGCAATGAGTGTTCAATTTTGTTTCACTGTGGTGAGTGCTATTTGTTCTTTAATCCAATTATAAAGCGATGTCCTTTTCCGAACTACATACCCTCCATCACTCGATTATTAAAGCAATAAAAATGATATCTTTATATTAATCTTAGATACATATGCCCACATATGTTATTATTACTCACTGATAAATAAATTGAAATTTTTAAACATTAAATGCCACAGATTCGATATGCTGCAGAGAAAAATGGCAGATGCACAGATGTTTATGAATGTGAAAATAGAAAATATTAATATATACATTTCTATATACTTTGCGATGTATATATTTATGTAATGTGTTAACTATGTATAAGGGTAGTTGTCATAATGAAACAGAGTTGAATAGCTTTTAATACCTAAATTATCTAAAGTAAATGTGGAGCCAGTAACAAAGTTATTAAGGTCCTAGTTCAACTATATTTTCGACCGGGATATACTTTTATTATACCCTGAACAGGGTGTATTAAGTTTGTCACGAAGTTTATATCACCCAGAAGGAAACGTCGGAGACTCTATAAAAACATATTTTCTTACTATATTTCATCCAAAATTTACATTCAAAATACTTTTTCATACAAAACATTTTTTTTGTGTTCTTTGAGGCAAAATATTGGACACGTATTTTTTTATTTCGACTCAATATGAAACATTTTGGAATTATGAAGTTAAAGTTAAAGGCTAAATAATAAATATGGTTTAAAAAACCAAAAAACATGCTTTTAAAGCACATTAAACAGGGGTTCCGCAGGGTGGTGTCCTCTCCCCACTACTGTTTTATTTCTACATCTCGAAATTCCCCCAACCACCAGCGGGAATTTCCGTGACCTCGTACGCTGATGACTGCACAATACTGACGTCGGGCAATGGAATCGATGGCATGTGCTCGGAAGTAAACAGCTATCTCTCCGACCTTTCTCGCTTCTTCTCTGCAAGGAGTCTGACACTCTCCCCCACTAAATCCACAGCGACCATTTTCACAAACTGGAGGAAAGTACAGACTGGATCTGAACATTTTAGTCGATGGCACAAAAATTCCGACAGTCAACAACCCTAAAATTTTAGGCGTTACATTAGATAGTCTATGCTCCTTCACTCCTCATACGACCGCGATAACTGCCAAAGTACAGAGCCGCAACAAAATCCTCATATCGCTTGCCGTAGCTCGTGGGGAAAAGGCAAAGAAAAGTTGTTGGCAACATATAAGGCAATCGGCCGGCCGGTCCTAAACTATGCATCACCAATATGGTCGCCTAGATGTAGTGCAACGCAGACGAAGAAGCTTTAGACTTGTCAAAACACTGCAGTCCGGACTATCACGGGATGCCTCTTGATGTCCCCAATAGAACACCTGCCCTTATGCTTGCGGCTAAAGAAAATAATAAGCTCTTCTCCAAGCAGTTTCTGCTGGGGTGTTTTCGCAGGAATCACCTCTGCAGTCGTCTGCTTGAAGCACCTCCAAGGAACATCAAGAGGTCCTTCCTTGATTACGTCGACGACATCAGACAGTACGCCGACCGGACTTCGGACGCAACGAACTTTAGACAAGCACTGACCGCCATTCACAGTGGAGCTATCAAAACCTTCATCGACTCTATGATTCACCCCGTCGAAACAGCTTGTATCTTTTGTTTCTTGGACCTCACGTTAGATGACTTCGACGAAACCCAAACTATAACTTATCATCCAAGCAACAACAACAACAACATAAAGGGAAAAATAAATACATTAAAAAAAAACACTCAAACTAAAAAGTGAAAAATAATTCTTAATATAAACTGACAGTAATGTTGACTGAAAAATACTTTTATTATTGTGAGAAAAGCGTGAGATGGTTTGTGCCATTTTCGTATATCGAGCTTGTTTTTCATTGTTTTTTACATTAAAATTTGTTCAGATAAAAACTAGAATTATTTTTATAATCTGAAAATATACAAAATTTAGAGCAGTTTTCTAATTAAAATTACTTTTTATAAAAAAAAATTATTGCCTGTTATCCAAAAATCAGACCATCCATCCTAATGAGTTTAAAGATATCAAACTACCGCAATACAGCGAAGAGGCCTATACATATGCCAGTAGTATACTTATACAAGCATCATTGTGTGACATGTCAATTAAATTATTTATTGTATATAGCAAGTGTGCTCTTAAGTATTTTTTTGGAATTTACCGAATCGACAACTGATTGCCTAAATATAGGGCAATTTTTACTTTTACACATTCTAGCGTTTTACAAACGCACTTATGTTAGACTCCTGGAACGTATGTGTGTATATGTAGATTATTTGGTAAAATATATTTTTGATTAGATTATATAAATTAAGAAGTGATATTAAAATATGATATGTATAAAATATATAGTGAGAGGTGAAAGGTTGAACATGGGATATTTAATAGTAATAGTGAAATTCTAAATCTCTTTCTGTATGCGATTTATGGATCTCTACTGTGTTTTCTGGAAAAAAAAAGAGTGAAGAATCGCTAGTCACAATGGTCGACCCTTTGTAAATTAAAAAATATAGTTACAGTATTTACTTATACAGCGTATGCTTAAAGCTGAAAACTTACCATGATCATCGGTACGTTTTCTTTTAATACAATTGCCATTTGGATCTGTAGAGTGGTGTATACCCAGTATCCCATTTATACTATATCCTGTCGATCGATGTTCTACGCCGTTGAGACTATTATTGCCATTTCCACCAAGTGTTGTGGTTGATGCCGCTGTATTAAGAATATTCTGTTGCTGGTGTTGTTGCAAATGTGTTACCGCTGCTGCAACAGTGGTGGCCGGTGCATGTGCTATAACTGATGTCGTGTTAATACTTGAGTTATTAGAACTATTTTGGTGGTGACTCAAATCATTGCCATTGTTTTCCACACTGTCTACTGCATTGTGATTGGAATTGCCACTGTTACCTGCAGAACAGCTACTGTTATGTTGTTGTGGTTGATGGTGATGAACATGCTTTGCTTTCTCTGCGGCCTTGTTTCGAACAATTCTACAAAGAGATTGTCACAATATTTTTAACTCAAAACTAATGTACTAGCCTAAAGCGATTATACAATACTTTTCTCAAAGAATATCAACTCAACTTATAAATATAACATATGTATTGTATAACAATGAAATCAGATATTAACCACGCCCAGCCTCCTTAGAGCGACAATGAAAGTGCGATAAATCTCGAACGAAAAACGTTAGAAGCATTCATTTTAACCACTTAGTTGTGTGGAGGTGATTCGGTATATACTTACGTATATAATTCTATTCTATCTTATGTATTGTACATAATTCTATCAAAGCTTTAAGTGTGTCGGCTATACCGACTTGTTGTCGGTTCTGCTTGAATTTGACGGCCACTAATTTGATCGTCTCCACTCATGCTTAAATTGTATTAAACATTTTATTTTAGTCGAAAAACTAAAATGTAATTAAGAGACGAGAAAATCCCATAAATCTTTATCTAGTACATAAAATTCTCGTGTCACAGTGTTTGTTGCCAAACTCCTCCGAAACGACTAGACCGATTTTGATGAAATTTGGTGTGCTTATCGGGTAGGTCGGAGAATCGGCCAACATCAATTTATCGTACACCTAAATTTTTAGAATAGTTGACTGCAAATATGACTTTTATTTTATTTTTTTGAACATTTTTATTTCTTTTTATTTTTTTCACGATTTAGCATTGAAAAATGCATACAATTACAAGTTCTCATCCCTATACGATCAAACCCTGATTTTAATCCCGATTTTTATATTATTCTATTCCATCCAGAGGCAATTGAATATAATAATTGTAGTTTACTATAATTTTCATGTATTATAGTTCTATCAACCAACCAGCTGTCTTCCGTTCTCACTTCTCAATGAAGCATCACGGAGTAGGAATGAAAATATGTTGGCTTATTTTATTCTCATTAAGTCAAGTTAATTTCATTCTCATAGCGAAACAGCGCTTGATAGTGTATAAATTCACCAAACACTACGATCATCGAATTTTTTGAATTGTGTAATCGTGCGAATATTTTTGGTGTCTTTGCACAAACATTCCTATTCAAAAGTAGCACACTATTTTACATTAATCGGAAAAAGGGATACCCCGCAAGTAAGACCCACCAGTTAATGCATGCCCCGGTTCATTCAAATCAAATAATTTCGGTGGCGTGCATATACAGTAAGTCCCGGGCAGGCGGAATGCTTTTATCTGCGACTGTTGCAGGTTAATGTCAAAAGACCATTTATATTTCAAGATATACTTGTACACACGTAAAGTAAATGGGCAACAGTATCCAACGTATAAAGATGTATGCATTAAGTTGATCAGACTTCTGGAAACCAGTGAAAATTGAGCTCTAAGATTCCATTACATATATACATACAACCCTAGCTAATATAAGCGTGTTAAAAATACTCTCATCGACAATATACGAGTACTTCCCGATGTATACACAAAATGTAAGATCGGCTGGCAGAAAGATTGATTTTGGCAAGAAAAAATGTGGACTTCAATGGATTAAATTCAAAGATGAAATAGTTGCTGCCAGAGACCACGGCTTTGCAATGGACAAGATAAGTTATTAAAAAGTTAAAGAAAAACATTAACGAACCCACCATTTTGAATAGAAAGTTTCGAGGCGAAAACGTATTGCTACCATGCTATGATTCTCACATACATTCGCAATGGCCATGAATAACTTACAAGGCCAAGCGTTGTTTGTTTGTGGTTTAGATTTGGGTACACCATGGTTTTCCAACGGAGAACTTTATGTGGCATGAGCAAACCATCCAGTTTCTTTTTATTCGCTAAAGACAGGCTGACCAAAAATATTGTACACTCTATTGTGTTGAGAGATTTATCTTTGTTTATTTTTAATTTAAATAATTAGTAGTAGAAATGTGAACTATTTTCGATGTGCATATAGGTAGCTATCAATAATAAGCTAGTATTTTATATGATTTAAATTTTTTACATCTGTTTAATTATAAAATATTTTGTTTAATGAACTTTTAATTATTTAAAATCAATATTTTATGAGTTATTGATCCATTAATAGTGATTATAAGATTAATTTACTTTGGTTAAATATCAAAGCATTGTTGACAATCGCATATTTGGCGTATTAGCCGCTCGCATTACTGTGCCTTGTTTTTCTATTGATGACTTCACCATTTTTAAAAGTTCATTGAAGGTTTCTAAATTCATTAGCAAAAAGTTATAATAAACTTGGCAACCGTAAGCTGTGAGTGAAAGTACAAAATGATGACTGACTTGTTTATTTGAACGTTTGCGAGCAAGACTTCATTCACACATGCGCACTGCTTGATGCGTAATTATTTGATCGTCTCCAGGGCACTTTAGTCAGTTTTTGAGATACATATGTTTATTAATGACATGAAGTGAACATATGTACCTGTTTTCTGGTAAGTATATGGTCTTGTCTTTCGGTTGACTTTATACCAGTGGTGGAAAAGTAAGCACAATTGTATTGTACATATTTTTCTGCCCTTCTAGCTGTAGTCGTCACTTTACGCACAATCGACTACTTTTTGGCTCGGTTTGACGAACGACGAAAATATGTACATATACTGTACATACTTATATCTAAACTCTCTTCGTAGTAAAATGTATATTTGCGACTTAAAGAATACGATATTTTAAAAACTATACAGTATGGCAGCACATACACAATTTTTGATAATAGTGAAGATATCTCCGAGAAAAGGAAAAAAATGAGTTTATAAACAGTAAAGAGGCAAGTGTGTATCTTTAGGATATTGGAAAGGTAATATAAATTGTGGGCCTTCCTACAATGCACGTATTATTTTTATACTTTTGCAAAATGACAACCACAGACTACCACACCTTCTTGGCGATAAAATTATGCCTATATGTCAAAAATGGGTTGAATCGGATCAAATAATTATCGTAGCCCCATATACCTAATATAAAGATTTTCGAGCGGCTTTATATCCTATATACCGGTCAATATGTAAGATATCTTAGCACTATAGTTTTATACCAAAAATATGTGAAATTGGTCGACGAATTACCCCAACTCCCATATACTACAAACAGTGATGTTATATTTTATTCTAACAAACTTTATGCCGAATATGTCGGTCAGTGTGTGAATTATATATCATATTTATGAAATTGCTTGGAAAAATGTCCTCAAGTATGTTTGCGCAATGTCAAAAGTTAGTATAATCGACTCAGACCTTTTCTGCCCCAAATATACTTTATATAGTGATTTCCGACTTTCCACCTATCTTGAAACCGTTCAGGTTGGTCATAATGTGTGATACTTTAATGAAATTAGTTCTTAAAAAATATGTGATTTAGCATTTAATATGAATGGAGTTAGTTTAGACCTTGGTCGAAACCTGATATCCTTAATATAATTAATTCCGATTTTCTGGTTGACGTTTTGTACATCAACTCACATTCATCGAATACTGAACGTTGAATTCTTTCGCAACTTTTTTTAATGTATTGTTTTGTTAACACCCGAAAGTATTTGCTCGATAATAATACATCCCATAAGTAGTAATACACAGTACAAGGTGCGTTCCAAAGTAAAAAAGTAACAAAGTAAACTCCAAACCGCCATCTATATGTCGACTAGTGCATTAGAATCTGCTATCCTTTATCGACTTCCAGTAAAAATTTCGTGACATTAGAAGTGAAGTTATTGAGTTTTAAGTGTCAGTAAGTTTTTATCATCGGTGCGAAAATGAGCTTCAAACAAAGAGCCAACATAAAATTTTGTTTTAAAATTGGTAAAACTTTTACCGAAACGTTTCAATTGATGAAACAATTTTATTGCGATGATTGCCTAACCCGTAGCAGAGTGCACGAGTGGTTTCAAGGTTTTCAAATTGGTCGTGAGGACATAAATGAGAAATGAGCCGAAACCCAAAAAATCGCGCCTGGAGAAGTCAAAAGTGAAGACAATGCTGATTTGTTTTTATGATTCCAAGGGTATTACCCACAAAGAATTTGTTCCACCCGGCCGAAACGTTTATGCGGTATTCTACCTTGGAGTTTTGAAGCGTTTGGTGCGCCGTATATGACGTGTTCGGCCGAATATCGCGAAGATGGAAGTTGGCGTTTGTTGCACGATAATGCGCCATCTCATCGATCGACGCTTGTGGCCGATTATTTGACCAAAAATCACATTTTAACAATCAACCACTCCCCATATTTACCTGATATGGCACCGTGCGACATCTACCTTTTCGGAAAAATGCATTTGCCGATGAAACGAAAGCGTTATGCAGACGTGGAGGCCATTCAAAAGGCTTGTACCGGCATACTGGCGGCCATACCGGGCAACAAGCTAAAACTCTCGTTCGACATGCTTTTGGACCGTGCAAAAAGCTGTATTAAAGCAAAAGGAAACTATTCTGAATAAAATTAATTGATTATGCCGATAAAACCATTTGTTCTGTCTTTTTTTTTAAAGTCCTGTTTACTTTGGAACGCACGGTATGTATTACAAAATCAAATAATGTAGACGTATTAAAAATACGTTTACTGTTTTTTTTTTGTTAATGAGTGGTTTGAAAAAATAATATAGATATTTTAATGACATTGAGTGAACATTATACTTTAATCGTGGTCTGGTGCAACAATATAATTATTTTCGTCCTTCTTAAAACTACGCCCCTTTAAGGTTCTCTTTATTGGATAGGAAAAAGTCAAACGTAGCCATGTCTGGTGAATATGGGGGCTGGGGCATCGTTACAGTATTGTTTTTGGCCAAGAATTCACGAAAAAATTCTTTGATCTATTTCTTTTAAGAAACGAAAATCGCCTAGCTCTCAAAAACATGTCTAACCTTAGCGGTTGCTACATCCAATGGCACGTATCAGGGGCATGTGTAGCAACATAATAGAAGAAAAATAATACTATTGGACACTCCAAAAACGCAAAATTTTAATTTTTAAATTCTGAACACACCTCGTATATCAAAAATAGCGGTTAATCAGAGAGAT